CTCTGAGCCCTCACCTTTGGCCGTAGCCCTCGCAGGACCGACACTGAAGCCTTTGGTCGCCCTACTTGAGGGCCGTCCCCACGTCTCCGGAGCCTGGCTTTTATATTTTCAACTTCGGGCGTTCTACAGTGCGTTAGGGGATCGACCCTACACCGACCGCTCTCCTGGTTCGAGTCCCTTTGCTATCTAGATGACCCACCCACTCATGTCATCTCCCTCCCGTATCGTCAGCTACTTCCGATGAGATTCCGGGGTCATCTCCCATGCTGGGAGAAGGACTTGGGTGTTACCTTTACTGATGAAGAGATCCGAACCTCCTGCGTAACCACGCATAAACTCTCCGTGGCCTGCTCGGCTCAAGAAAAGGGCTATAAAATCCTAACTCGGTGGTACCGAAGCCCAACCCTCCTACATTAAATATTTCCTGATAGGTCCGCCCTCTGCTGGCATTGTCTGGCAGCGGAGGGGACCCTACTACATGTATGATGGGGCTGCCCCCTAGTTTTGCCATTTTGGAACCGGGTCTTTGACAACTATAACCAGGTAATGGGGACGGATCTCGTAGCCTCCCCTAAAATAGCTCTCCTATCTCTTTTACCTGGCTCCCTTGCCTCGATCAAGAGGGACCTACTCCGCTTCTTCCTGGCAGCGGCCCGAAACGTAGTGCCGCGACATTGGAACACTGTGGTCGCCCTGACCGTGCAGGAGTGGATTGCGGAAGTGTGTCTGATCATGCGCTTTGAAGAACTGACGGCCTCTCTACATGAGCGTCAACCCCAATGCGCTACTTTGTGGACCCCTTGGATTTTGTACATGGACTCAGCAGCATTTAGGACCCTGTGATCGTACTAAGGACCTCCTGACTGACACTGCACTAGTGCACTGCCTCTGATATACCTATGTGGGCCGTCCAGGGTGACGGATGTACTATTAGGTCCGGTGGAAGCCCCCCATCCCCCTTTCTCCTCCCCATTAAGTACCCTCCCGTATCTGTTCTCCTACTTAGCCTGGCACCCCGCCTGGCAGGCGCCCCCCGCCCATATTGTGTTGTCCCTTGAGTCCTGTGTTACTATGTGTTTCTCTTCCTTTTTGTCCCCCTTTAGTGTTGTCTGGCCAGATGGGAGATCGCAGTTACCTTTATATCTCCTGGGTGAGATGCGCTCAGTAGCTATAGATGTACCCCCCTATATATGACTTGATCTACATATTTACCACTGTATGTGATGGATACTTGAACCGAACACATATATATATGCGTTGTTATATGCTTGTGTCTCATGCAGAGCTGTGACTGCATGTCCTGAAACTGCGCTGATCCCTATGTCTGCCTGTCTTTTATGTTACTTGTACTAAACTCTTAATAAACTTTTATTATTTAAAAAAAAGAAACCTGGCTGGAAAGCTCACATGACTGGGCTGCTAATATACAAGGGTACAGCCTGTTTTGGAAGGACAGGGTTGGGGGGGTGTATGCTTCTATGTGAAGGGTAATGTGAAACTGAATGTAAGATGACATCAGTACTGAGGAGCTACATAAGACTGTGTCTAATTGTGAAGGGATTGCAGATTTGTGCTTTAGACCCCCAAACATAAAGGAAGAAGAGAAGATTCAGCTCCCCTCATAGATTGAAATGGCTGGGAAACAGGACAATGTTGTTTTTATTATGGGGGACTTCAATTATCCCAACACTGATTGGGCAAAAGGAACCGCACACTCAACTAAGGCTTGCTGTTTCCTGAACTTATTGCCGGACAATTTCATGGATCAAATGGCGGAAGTTCTCAACTAGAAAAAAATGCTATATTAGATCTAATAATTTCTAACAACACAGAGCTGGTTGCAGGCATAGTAACTCTAAGAAAAGAGGTGTTCTTTTACTGTATCCAACCAAATATTTCTAACAAAGAACACTGAGTACAATACATATAAAAAGAGGAAGACAAGGCACGCCAGACTTTAATAGCACCCAAAACATAAGTTGAAACTTGATGTGTTTCACAGATAGTTATTGTCTACCACTTCATCAGGAGATTCTCAGGTAAATACAGGTAAGTGTAAAAAAACAATGCTACAGTTCACGTTAGCAGAACTGCATTGTGCGTATTTCCTCATGCTCAGTGGACATTGGAGCAAATGGAAATGTGGGAAAAACCAGAGCCAGTGCCAGATCCAAAATCTAAGGCCTCCAAATGCATGGACTAATATCCAACATTGGTAATTTGTCTTTCAGTATATCCCCACAGGGTGTAACAAATGCAGCAATCTCAAACAAATTCAGATGAGCGCTCCCATATCCAAGGATGCAGTTCAATTTTGGTCAGCGATCCACAGAAAGGATGTCCTTGAACTGGAGAGGGTCCAGAGAAGGGCAGCAACACTAATAAAGGGGCTCCAGGACCAAAACTATGAGAAATGATTACATAAATCACACTTGTGATATGACTGCCCTGTACAAATTGTATAATGGTGATGGTATAATCAGTAATAAACTGTTTACTGTAAGATCAACTAAGAAGGCAAGGGGTTACCACCTGGAAATGGAAGGTAAAAGGTTTAACCTCAACTGTAAAGGGGATTCTTTACTATTATAGCAGTAAAATTTTAGAACTCCCTTCCCCAGTCAGTGGTATCAGCTGAGAGTATAGACACACTCAAGAAACTTTTGGATGATTTCCTCAGTGAACACAATATACAGGGGTACGGGTACTCTAAGTTCCACGGACCGGTACCGGTCCGCGGCCCGGGGGTTGGGGACCACTGCTCTAAGTGACTCAGACTCATACACATACACACACTGAACTGGATGGACCTGTGTCTTTATTCGACCTTAACAACTACTGTGTGTAACTATGTAGAAGTGTATTCATTGGTTTTGTTTTATATCTGTCATTAAAAGAGAACTATGGGGTAACCTTTTGATCCCATTGCTCTTTTTAGGGTGACGGAAGGACATTTACTAACGTCCTCCCGTGACCCAAAGCTCAGTTTATCGCGAGCGATATACTGAGAGTGCCACAGCCGGGACGGATCCCGACATTACTGTTGGGATCTATCTAGAAGCAGAGCCAGCTGTGCCCGCCCCCTCCTCTGTCCGTTCCTCCAGTCAGCACCAGAGGATCAGAGAGGGGAGGGGGGAATCCCTGCGGGGAGCGGTGACTGACAGTCACGGCTCTCTGCAGGGAGATGATCGGGAAGTGAGCGAGCGACGGTATTTGTTCACTGACTCAATAGACTGATCAAGAGTCAAAAGTCCAAGTATGCCATCGCACTCCTGACTGGAAAATGCCCATGCAGAAGGGCGGGTGCAGCAGCAACGACGGATGCCTCTGTCAAAAACTTACAAAATAATAAAGTCACCGCCACTCCAAGTATTCAAGTCAATAAGTTTATTGACCCAAGTGAAAACACCTGAAAGTTATTGACTTGAATACTTGGAGTGCCGGTGACTTTATTATTTTGATCAATAGAGTCGATGTGTGACAGTTTCAATGTCACACGTCAGCTCTAACTATGAGGTTGAATGTAAATCACTCACCTCATAGTTCTCCTTTAAGTTCACGTTTAAAAGGTACCTCTACCCAAGAAGAAAATGTGTGGACATGCCTCAGTAGCTAGCTAAAGTAATGTGTTTCTGCTCAGTGTGGCAGTGTTCCTATTAAAAGAAACCTGTGCTGAGAACATAAGGAGGCTGCTAGTGCTGAACTCTCCTTTTTAAAATGTTATTTGTCTGGATCACATGCTGACCCAAAGGCTTCAAAACTTTGAGTCACTGACCAATAACAAGTATGAAGATTAGGAGATCTGACTGTAATCTTACTCTACTTTCCGAATGCCTGTTTCAGGTCTGTGACTAAAGTATTAAATCCAGAGGTAGACAGACAACTTGCATATTCAGAAGACGGTTAGTCTTCATAGCTACCTTATTCCTTTACAGTTTGTCTTTATTGCTGCGGGGAAATATTACATATACTGGTACTAACCACATACAGCTATGAAGATATATTTTTCACTATAATGTCTACAACTGTGACCCTGCAGCTTCACGTACTGCTGGTAAATAGATTTTTCCTGTTAAAATTGTGTCTGCAGCAGTGAATGGATGAGGCTGAGTTGCAGTGAAATTAGGATAGCTGCTGAAAAGACATTGAAAAAATATAGAAATACAGACAGCTACAGGAATAAAATCTACAAATCTGTACATGTAATAAGATTATAGACATAAGTAAAATATACCTAAACCCAAAGAACAAACCTTTTTTGGTCCATTTTGGTCTGATAAATATACCATTAAAAGTGTTTTTCATATGCAAAAAAAACTGTAGATTCTGCCAGGGAGCGTAGGAGCTGACAACTGCCTTTGAACTCTGTCTGTGCTGCACTCTTATCAGTTACACTGTTGTCACCCTAGGACTGGAATGGTGTAACTTGATGGATTCAATGGGTAAGAAAGAAAAAAAACCTAGAAAACGAATGCAGCCACCACATCTAAGGACTAATAAGTTGCAATATATAACATTTTTGTTCTTGGGTTTAAATACACTTTAGGGGCCCATTATGGATGCACCAATACCGGCTGTTCTGCATCAAGTACGAGTAACGATATTTTACTATCGGTACTTGCCGATACTGAGTACCGATGCTTCCACTGGCATGGAGCCGGCTCTCCGGGCAATCAGCATCGCGCAAGCTAGTAATGACCCGCCTCCCGGTTTCCTGACTGGCTGGGACGTTGGCTCCATGCTGATTGTTTGGAAAGCCAGTTTCCCAGCCAATCAGCATCAAGCCGGCTGTTCGGCCGGCTCGATGCTGATTGGCCAGAAATCCGGCTTCCCAGCCAATCAGCATAGAGCCCAAATACACGGTATCAGCACCAATACTAGTATCGGGGCATCCCTAGTGCCCATTGAAGATATACTGCACAGTTACACTTTAAGGTAACATATGCTGTTACCGTTCAACACTATATACATATTTTTCCCTTTTTTTTCTTCACATTTACCTTCTCAGCTGTCTGGAAATATTGTTTCACCAGATCCTCAACCCGCAGCGTAGCAACCTCTGAGGATGGCCTGCTTTCAAGTTTTTCAAAATTAATTGCTATGTTATCTGCAAAGAGAATGGAGATGTTTACTACACAGAAGAAGCAGAGCAGGTGTTCTGTGCTCTCATCCCAGCTTGACATACAAGGCCATGAAAACGACACTTTGCATGAGCTTCACATATCAAAGAGGTATTACATGAGTAGATGAGGTGCAGAGCTAATGTCAGCAGCTACACACCATACAACACCTGGTGCCCACACTTGCATAAAAAGCAATATCATCCATCAGATTTTGTGTTTCATTTATAAATAATTTGCAAATGCCATGGAATGCCACTTGTCCAGGAAATAATGAAAAGAGAACAAATTCAACATCAAACTACATAGTTACATAGAATTTGAGGATGAATAAATAATAACATTATTTTGTAATAATAATATGTTGTAATAATACAAAATGTATTATTACAAAAGCACCTTCTGTGTCATGGCAAGATTTTCAAAAATAGTGTTCTTTACAAAGGATGGGGATTTGTATACATGACATTTTATTATGTGAGCAGTTTCAAAAGAAAATAGGATTTTTGTTTCCTTTTCTTGTATTCCACTAAGGGACACAGGAGGTTTTTCACCTACGCGTTAACACTTTCACCTATAGGAAATGTAGGTATTACCTGTAATGTTTTAAGGAAGAACTCTGGGCAGATTTTTTCTTAACCCTTGTAGTGGGGCTACCCCGCTCTTCAAGGGCTTAATGCTTGTTATCGTCTAGTGACAAAAATACAATGTTATACTCACCCGATCTTCAAGCCGGCTTGCTCTTAGACTGATCCTTGCAGCCTCTCTCCCCCTCCACTTTAGCGGTCTAAGGATCCTTAAAGGAGAACTATGGGGTTAAGGCTTTTCCCCATAGTTCTCCTTAGGGTAACGGGAGGACACAAACTAGCGTCCTCCCGTCACTCTAGGCTCAGTATACCGCAAGCTGTAGCTCGCGGTATACTGAGACGCCGCAGCTGAAGCGTATCCCGACAATTGTGCCAGGATCTGCCCAGCTGCGTGAATGCCTATCTAGAGGCAGAGCCAGCTGTACCTTCCCCCGTCCGTTCCGCCAGTCAGCGCTGGCGGATCGGAGCGGGCAGGGGGGAATCCAGCCCCTCCCCTGTCACGGCAGAGAGCCGTGACAGGATCGAGAGGTGAGCAAACCCGGTATGTGTTTGCTCACCTCCCGATCTACTGTCTACTGACAGTCTCATTGTCACAGGTCGGCTAGAACTATGAGGTGAGTGAAAAGCACTCAACTCATAGTTCTGCTTTAAGTCATCATGTCCTATACACTGTGTATAGGATGTGAGGACGCCGAAGGACATACCATTGCTGCAGCAGAGAAGGAGACAGGCTAGAAGGAGCACTCTAACAGCTAGCCAGCTCCAAGGATCGGGTGAGTAAAACGTTGTTATTTTTGTCCCTAGACAAAAATGAGCACATAACCCTTGCAGTACGGGGGTAGCCCCACTGCAAGAATTAAGAAAAAAATTCTATAAGTTCTATAAGTTGGCGACAGGGTCTCTTTAAATCACTACAGTCAATAAGGTTATAGAAAGCTGGTCCAAAAGAAAACAAAAAGTATAAACGTATTTACTGTAGTGTACGTAACCATTTATAACCTACAAAATACTCTGAGAACTGCAAAGTTTTCCTAGTACAGAAGATATTTACTTTGTCATAACTTCTGTCACAAAAAAAGATCTTAATACGTCTAAGGATTGAGCTGGTCGTAAAAAAATTATAGCCAGTCTGCCAAGTTGCTCCAACGCATTTCGGGCACACTGATCGTTACTCTTCTGTGTATGCACTCATCTATTAAAGAGAATCTCTACTCTACGGTACAGTTATAGTGGCTGGCGGTGGGAACCACAGCGGTATCTGACACACCAATAGTGTCCAATTACTGAAAATGTTTCAGCCGGCTCATAGAAAGTGAAGAATGGAGGCAATAAACGCAGGAAAGGTAAGTATTAGCCTCTGTACATGTAATAGGATTATAGAAATAATTACAATTCATAGAAACTCAAACAATGGTCCAATTTGGTCTGATAAATACACCATTAACCTCTTGCCATCCGCCCTTCTATCTGTCCCCAAAAAAGGGTATAAAATTCATTTCAGTACAGCGCTGCATGACGGAATAAATGTCAGTTAAAGTACCGCAGCGCTGAATACTGAAAAATGGCCTGGATGGGAAGGGGGTTTAACACCGCGGATGTCAACTGGTTAAAAGTGTTTTTCAGATGCAAAAAAAAAACCCTGTAGAGTATGCCAGAAAGCTTAGGGGCTGATAACTGCCTTATCCAACGTGCATCGGGCACATTGATCGTTAGTCTTTCTTGTATGCACTCATCTAATAAAGTGACACTGATGCCTATCTTTACTGTATTGTAAAGTTGTAGTGGCCAGCAGGGGGAACCACAGGGGGTGTGATGTTACACAGTTGAATAAAATCATCACCAAATGCATAGTTAATGTTCATATTAATGTGAAGTGAGAATTTATATAGTGAATATTTCTTAAGCCAATATGCTTTGACATCAGTATAGCTCAACCTGTGTAACCTCAGGACCCACATTTGTCCTTGGCCATTAAGTCACGCCCCAAGTCGCACTGCAATAGAACGCATGGCATTAGTGTACCACATGTTCTGGTGCGGCTGTACTAACTGTGGGTGGGAGGTGCGTTTGGGGTACAATTGAAATGAATGGTAATGCAATGCAACTCCCACACCAGAATGCACGGTAGGTGCGATTGTGTGGTACAGTTTGATGCACTGTACTAATGTGAAAGGGCCCTCAAAAACACTGACATACATACTGTACATACATACACAGACACAGGCTAGGACACACATGCACACTTTTGTTTTTTACGCCCAGTCTCCCTACCTTACGAGAACTGGAGTGGATCCTCAGCCTGGGTCCAGTGTGGGCTGCTTTGCTGTGACGGAGCTCCACCCATATGTACATTGCTTCTATAGCTCCATTGCGCACCCTATAGAGGTGCTGGGAGCCAGAATGTGATGTCACTCCAGTCCAGGCACCTCTACAGGACATGTGTGGGAGCTATAAGCAATGCACGTATGGACGGAGCTCCCTCGCAGACATAGCCCCAGTCTGCCCCACCTAAAGCTGACACTCAGTGCTGGGCAGCACATTTTGAATAGTTGCTTGGCACGAGAACTGACAGTGCTGTGCTAGGGAAAGGCAGAAGAGCCTCTCACCTAGAAAAGTGATAAGAACCAAGGGTATAGCTGCTTTATATACTGCCATCCTGTGGTTGTTTTGGTTATTGCACCATGTCTTCTGTATTCCCTCCCCTTGTGTGTAATGTACTTCCTTCTTGTTAAGAGATATCTTTTCTGGTAAAATGGCTGCATCTTATGGCCACATGCAGTATGCTTGCTTGGAAACATTATCATCTTTGACCTGCAAATACCATCTTTCTGATTATCTGCTACATCCTGTTGCCTGCTGTAACCTGCTGCATTCAATAAAAGGTATTTGGTGAGTTTAGCTATCTGATAAGGATTGTCTGCAGTGATTATATCTGCTTATACAGGCCAGGCATAGATGTCTCAGCAAGGGATAAATCGCTAATACAACAATTGGAGTCAGAATAGGGGGTGACTAGACATCTGACACATCAAGTGTGTCGGAATGCCGAAGATACTTTAGCCGGCTTAGCTCCCAAAGAGAGTGAAGATTGGATGCAGTAACAGCAGGAAAGGTAAGTATTACCCTCTCTTCTTTTGCAAAAAGAACTTATTTGTATTTATTTACGTTCTTTTAAGCAGAGTGGGTGAAGCTATGAATATAAATACATGGTAACCCTGTGGTCAACTGTGCAGCCAGCAAAGTGTGTGTATAGCACAGACACTTCTCAGGTTTATCCACTTTTCTACAATACCTCGAGCCCTGGCTTGCAGATTTTGTATTTGCACTATAAACACAAAAGTTTGTGGACAACTGACGACCGCACGTATATGAGCTTGTTGGACATCTCAGTTCAAAACCATGGCCATTAATATGGAGTTGCCCCCTTCGTAACTGTAACAACCTCAACTCGTCAAAGAAGGTTTTCCACAAGATTATGGAGCTTGGGTGTGAGAATTTGTGACTATTCTGCTAAAGGAACATTCATAAGATCAGGAACTGATAATGCAGGTAAAGACCAGGTTTCACAGTTGGCATTCCGGTTAATTCCAGTGGTGTTCAGAAGAGTTGCTCTGGGCTCAGGTGTGGTCACGTGTCCACAAACGTTTGTGTTTATAGTGCAGGCCAGTTAACTTACTCCACATCAAACTGGTCAAACTATGTCTTTATATAGCTGGCTTTGTGCTCAGGAGAACAGTCATGATGGAACAGAGAAGGATTTCCCCAAGCCGTTGCCACAAGTTTGAAAGTGCACAATTATCTAAAACGTCTTTGTATGGTTACAAATACAGTAAGCCGAGAGATTAGATATCCAGAGGGAAACCTAACCTTATCTTTATGCCTAAGGCTGGGCTCTCACCATTTTCCGGATCAGATCTGGAACGCAGTGCATTGCGGTTTTGCCGCGTATGGAATTTTTTTTGTTAGCTTAAAATGGTCTTACAGGTGCGTTCCATGCGTTTTTGATGTGTTTATATGCATTCCAGACCAGACAAAATGAGACATGCAGTATTTTCTGGTCTGGTCTGGAACGGACTGCGCTGGTTGGAACAGAGGCCAAAACTAGCATAGGGATACATTGGGATGCATTTTGGGTCCGGAAACAGTCTGGTCTGGTCTGGTGGTAATCTGGATGTGTTGTGAATGGGCCCTAAAGCCCAAGCAGCAGAAACAGGATTCCTTACAGGTGGAGTATTTTTTTAATACCACGCCTACAGGAAGCTGTTTTTACATGCAAACCAATAATTGTGCAAATAAACTGACCTTTCTTATCCTTCTGCTCCTTGTGTCTGAAGAAGTGTATTATATCTTTAGGATTGGCTGTTTTGTCCACAAACTTCTGGCTAAAACGAAGAGTATTGAAGGGTTCAAATCCTCCTGTGTAATCCACCTGGAAAGGTTAACAATTGAGCTCTTAGTAACTTTACAAGCCTGCATGAATAATTTCTTGACATGTCACAATACACAGCAAAAGTCATTATATGTTTATCAAAAGCTGTACTTCCCACTATGAAAAAGCCCCTAAGACTGTACATTGTAACTTTGCAGCAAGTCCCAAAGCAAGAGTGTTCGGCAGGGGCTGATCTGTGAAAGATGTTTGTAAACTACCCAGGTATGAGGATTTACATGATTGAGCCTGCATGTTAGTCCAGGAAGAAGATGCTGACCCTAAATGATGAATAAGAAAGATGGCTTTGCCATTGTTGGGGCAAAAATAAGACAAAGTCACTACTAGGGGAATAGCATAATCTCAGTAGGAGGTAATAAATACCTAGAAAAGTAACAATAACACAATGCTTAGCGTGCTGGACTTAATATGAAGAAATATGTATATCTGATGCTTGCTCCACTTTCATGAGAAGGGCGAAGGAACCAATCAAAAGGGCACTCCCTTTTTAGGTCCCAGGCTGGTCCCACCACCATATTGACCAATGGGGCTAAGTTATGGACCAATAAGGAGGTGCTGAAGGTATGACGAGGCAGTGCCCCACTTTTTGGAAGCACTTCCATCTAAAGAAGAGAATTGCCTGTGTTTCTCTACAGCACACCACACATACCCTTTAATAGATGGATTTGTTAGGCATCAGAAGTCTCAATGTGTGCTCCTCTCAACTCCAACAGGGCTATTCAATAAAGGGTGAAGAGTTTGGAGAAGGCAGGAGAAGTGAACAATATAGGACAACATCACTGAACTGGAAAGTGAGCTGAATTGGAGAATTTTTCCAAATGAGCTATTTTGGCCTAGATTGTTCACTTCTCCTGCCTTCTCCAAACTCTTCACCCTTCTATGAATAGCCCTGCAAATCTCTCTTCCAAATGGCCCTGAACTTCTGTACATGTGCCCTCTTTTAGCATTGCTAACTCTGCTCCGACCTCACACAGAGGCACCTGGGAGTCAAAAGTCAAGGAAGGACGGAAAAGGGCGTCCTCTTCACTCTCCTATGCACTAATCTATTTAAAAGCTTTACTCCACAATGAAACATGAACACAGAAAATTACATTCCTGGTCTGGCAAGCAAGACAATTGTTCACAGCCAGCAGGCCTAACCAAGCTAAAGTTCTGCTTTCATGCATTGTGGCTTAGTGATCAGTACTTTGGCGTTGCATTATGGGTATCCTAGGTCCTCGGCAACTACTAGGTTTCTTTATAAGCTTTCTATTTTCTCCCCAGTGCTTGTGAAGGACGCCTTTAAACCTCCAAAAAAACATGCTGGTAGTTTATTTCTCTTAAAATTAAATTGACGCAAGGATTGTTTCACACTTTATACCTATTCACACGGGAAAGGCTCAGCTCCAACTTGATGTTAAACCCAACAGATGTGTAAAGCTGAGATCTTATCAGATAACAACTGCACAGAGCCAGATTAGGTGTTAGAAGAGTATATA